TTTATCATTGCCTAAGTCTGCTTTGTGTGCAAATTTAACACTCCACGCATGGACGCCCCCTCACACAGGTGTACACGTGGCCTTACAGTAAGTCAGTTAAAAAAAGATATGTGCACGCCTGCATGAATGCGAGCACCTGAAGTCATTTCTGTTTCCCCCTCTCTCCCTCCTTGATGCCTGTGAGCACAATTGTGTATGACACTAATGTGTGAAACAGTGAAAGTCAATTATCACCTCATTTTCATTCTCCTCACATTTGAGTGCCTCGCGCCTTGAGTTACACTAGAGCCCACAGTGAAAGGCTACACGTAGCTCTCCATATGCCAGAAATCAGAAACATCTTCATCTCCGGGGCCGATCGATAGCATCACAGGGAGGCGGCCTTGTGCATTTACACACGTGCTAAATGTGCGACAAGTTTTCTTTTACCAGGAGGATGATTTGAATGAGCAGGGAGTGAGAGGGCATTCTGTGGACGTGAGTTCCTGTTTGACGAGTGCGAATTAAAGCGCAGAGTATAAGTACAGCTCCAAAGGTCGGGCCGTGACCATCCCAGCAGGATCGCTCCATCTATCACACTGAGATGGATGAACAGACAATCAATCTGAGTCACTTCCCACTGTTGTACACTTTAACCTTTCAACTCCCATCCAGATGTGCCCCCAAGGGAGCCTGAAACATCAACTAGGGTAAAAATTGATGGGCTTCACTTAAATTTAATAGGTACTGATACAGCTAATAAGTGCATTCATTGTCTGTCCTATCTTAGCTTTAAAAAAAATTAAGAAGCTTAAAACCTGAAAGAGGAGTCAGTTATGGCTATGTTAAGACTGACAAAATTAATGTTTAATGTCTGATGTCATGTGCAGTCAGTTAGAACTTTATGTGCTCAGCTACAACCACAGTAAATTTTAGTGCAACATTTGTAAAAATGACTTGAGTTAGAGATGTTTTGTTGTTTGCTAAAACTCCTGTCCAGTATAATGATTTAGACAATTTAGCTGACTTCTGACAATTTTATTATGGACTAGATACCGCATAGTGGTAACATAATGACCCCCGCACGCACAAATGCACCAGAACTCAGAAGTCTTTATTCCCAATAAATGTCATGCTACCAGGTGCATGCCATAATTTTACTGGTTTGGCTGGGGGGGGAGCAGCATTGGTTGACCTGATGGACAGCCCCTTATCAGAGCTAAACAACCAAAGAAATCTGAAGCTCCTATGTTGAAAAGTTTCTGAGTTATAAGCATTTTTGCATGTCCATACATCCCTTCTTTGGATGGAGCCCCTCCTCAAATATGGGGTCTATCGTAAAACTATTGGCTGGTGCAATGTAGGTCAGACTCTTCTACAGTCCTGCCAAATTTCATGTTGACCAGTGCAGCCGATTTGTGCTACGGTTGACCAAAAATCACTGAAAAAAAAAAAAACAGTGCAAAAAAAATATGACTCCCGCTTACATGCAGGGGTCATAATAAGTTACTCAGTGGTAACTCCAAGGGGAGGAGTTTAAGTATCTCAGGGTCTTGTTCACGAATGACGGTAGAACGGAGCGGAAGATTGATAGGTGAATTGGTGCTGCGTCTGCAGTGATGCGGTCACTGTATCGGTCTGTCACGAGAGCTGAGCCAAAAGGTGAAGCTCTCGGTTTACTGGTCATCTACATTCCTACCCTCATCTATGGTCAAGAACTTTGGGTATTGACCAAAAGAACAAAATAGTGGATAAGAGAGGTCAAAATGAGTTTCCTTTGCAGGGTGTCTGGGCTCTCCCTTAGAGATAGGGTGAGAAGCTCAGTCAGCAGGAGGGACTCAGAGTGGAGCCGCTGCTCCTCCACGAGGAGAGGAGCCAGTTGAGGTTGCTCGGGCATCTGGTTAGGATGCCTCCTGGACGCCTCCCTGGTGAGGTGTTCCGGCCATGTCCCACTGGGAGGAGACCCAGAGGAAGACCCAGGACACGCTGGAGGGACTATGTTTCTCAGCTGGCCTGGGAACACCTTGGGAATCCCCCGGATGAGCTGGTCCAAGTGGCTGGGGAAAGGGAGGTCTTGGCCTCTCTGTTAGCCTGCTGCCCCTGCGACCCAACCCCGGATAAGCAGAAGAAAATGGATGGATGTACGGATGAAGTTATTCAGTCTGTGTACATTTTGGTAGTTTGATTTGCATTTTAAAAACAGGTGTTGAAAAAAATAATTATATACATCAAATATTTAAAGAAATGGTCTGTCTTCTTATATTTGTGAACCCAAAGTTTAGCAAGGTAACTTAATGCTGTCCTGTGGAACCTGCTGCAGGTTCAAGTTCATATTGGAGCTGTTGATAAAGTCTTCGTGTTCTAAAAGCACCAGAAGCTCCAGGAAACAGTTTGAACCATCAGTGATAAACAAAATAACAGCTGGTCCCTGATAAAAAAAATGTAAAACTAGTGAGCTAATGTTTTTTTACTGCCTTATTAGCTACTTATAAAGTACAACATGTTTATTCATCCCACCATCAGACCGTTTAAGGTAGTTTTTTTTATAAGAATTTAACTAGACATACAGTCTAGTTAGTTCAAGAAATTCAAGCATAGTTAACTAGCATTGATTTATTTGTATACAGACAGTCACCTGTTATTTAAAAAAGTTTTTTTTTATAAATAGCTCCTGATAATGACAGTGTTGAACTTCCGGTTTGACAAAAATAAAACAATGGACTTTTTCCAATTTTCATTTATGGAATATAAAATTAAAATCGTAAAACCAGTTGTTTATTTTTATTTGTTTGGTTTTGGTCTTACAATATCTCTTTTTAAAATGAAAATTGAATGATCCAAAAGTACTGAAACCGTATATGATTTAACCTTAACCTCATATATGTTACATTTTTGTTCAACGTGTTAGTAGTAAACACCAAAATGATCTGAATGTATTTGTCTAAAAGAGGATTCAAGTTGATTTTTTTTCCCATTTTCAGCGTAGACATTGTCAGTGTTGGACAGCATTTTTACAAGTTGGCATATGCTGTCTAAAACATCATAGTGTGACAGGGCCACAAGTTTAGTTAGCTTGGGTAGACATCTTGTCTCAGTTGTCCATGTGTGTTCTAAAACTCATCAAATGGTTCTTCAGATATTTTGCTACCACAACAAAGAAATTCATAAACACACAGGCAAAAAAAGCCAAATTCTATTCATGTCCCAACTATGAGCAGATGGTGATAGTAAGGCTTGACCAAAAAAAATGTATTTTTTAAAAATTATAAATAGACAATTTATGTTACCAATAAATGGATTGAGGCTTTATGGCTGCTACAGCTATGTAACAATATCAAAAACCAAACTGACTTTAACTCAACCAACTTTACATATATTGAGCTAAACTGGTATTAAAGCTCATCCCTGACTTATTATTTGAGTGTGAACAAATCTAGCAAGATCTTACAATAATGTACGAAGCTGTGCATGATGCCAAGGTTTGCTTACAACAGCTGTAACTTTTTTCCCCCTCAGGACATCGTGGTTTTAGTTGAATATGCTCCCCTTCAAGGAACACTGGACCTTTTATTTGTTTTATTGCATTTTGCTGGAACATTCTTTGATCTCACTTATGCTGATTCCAAATGTATGCCTTCTGTGGCAGCCAGATATGTAACACAAGCCAAGACACAAGTGCTTTGACATTAGGTTAAACTGCTTTGGACACCAGACACATTGGGGGTAATTAACTCCACCAGATACAAATTACACAGGCGGATCAAATGAAAACAAGCTAAGTTTGCCAACAAAATAGCTGCGAACTACGGAAAATATAAAATAATGTCAAAAAATGTTCACAACTTTTGAAGATGGAAACAAGAAGACCAGTGGGCTTGTCATTTTGTCCTGTTGCCAGGCAACCAACGGATACAGGGAAATAATGCTACTGGCAACGAGTAGTCCAGGACTACAGTACATCCCCCGATGAAGCAGCACACCACGCATTTTTACACATCAGCTTTTGTACGGATTAAAGGAGCCACAAATAATCTGAAAGTTTGTGAGTTTTTATTGTGCTGATGGGCAGATTTTATTACAGAGCCAGTCAGGCTGTGTCACTCAGGGTTTATGATAGGTTGGCTCATGTTTGCACTAATATTTACAGCACAGGAGAAAAAAGTGTCAATCTTTGCTATTAGGTATTCATATAAATATGCTTTTCTCTTTATATAAATACAGTTTGTTTCAGTGAAATCAGCTAAACTGAATGTGATATATGTTGTATGTTTAGGTCACTGTAATCTATTAAACTTTGTTTTTATTTGAAATGATATAAATTAAAAAAACAAACATTGGATTACCAATAAATTTCAAATATTGACTGTATTTGTGGTTTTCAATATTTATCCTTTCTATCTATGTACATTTGTTTAGGTGACTCAAAAACATAGAACAACTTTATAAATGATATCAAAATTGTTATGAATCCTTTCAGTTATGTCACAGTTTAGTCTTCTCTGTTCATTAGTTTTTAGCTTCAGTTTGTTTTGTTTCTGGTTCCATCTCTCTCCCCCTCCCATCACCGTTCTCTAATCAGCTCCGCCTTCATGCTAATTACCGGATTCATCTCACCTGTGTTACACACTATTTAACC